CCCCCCCTCCAGTATAGGGTAGGTGGATCACTCCTTCTTCTGCTCCAACATTTTGGCAAAGTATTGTTCTGCCTTGTTCAAAAGAAAATGGATAACTTCAAGGGAAATCCTATTCCGTTATTCGTGCTATCGTTTTATATGCAAGATCCTCAATGGTTTTATTCCAAAAAGGAGAAGAAGAAAAAGAGGAACGTCGGTTTATCGTTGAACCTACTTTGCCCGATGAACTTCACTCAGTTTCTCCATTTTCTTGGTTTCCTTAACGTTTTCCGCTTCCCCTATAGGATTTCATGGGGCTTTTATACGCCGGAGTTTTTAACCTGGAACGAAATTTCAACCTCGCAAGAGACGGGGATTTGGCCGTTTTAGGATTTAGGCAAGACTACTCGATCTTCTCTTTGTACTAATTTAAATATTTCTTATGGCAGCTCATCTTAGGCGTAGCTGTACCCATATCAATCCGTGGTAGACTTCTGTCTGTTGGTCATAACATTCAATTTCAATATCCACTGCCACGGAACGCCTCATATTTTACAAACTACTTTGACTCGGTGTCGACGAGGCGTCGGCGTCGGTCAATGAAGGACGAGAGATCGATGATCTATCGTTATATGGAGAACGAGATAGAGAGGTAATATAAAAAATATAAAAAATACACGAATGATATAACAAAAAGTTTCAAATTCAACAAAGTTTAATAACACGTGAAAATAATTTTGGAACTCTTTTTTTCCTTACCGATAAATAATTCTTTCATTCCCACCTTTCGTGACCTTTTCTCACCCTTATTATTTCTTTTTCAACAAAAAGATGGGGTGCCAACGGTAAGGACTGCCTGATGAGAAGCATATGCGAGGCTGCCGAGACTCCACTAAGGGATGAAGGTCTGGTCGGCGAACTTCTTCACGTTCTGCTGACGTAAGTCGTAGGATTTTTCGAATCCCAAATCATCCTCTCACAGCGACTCACCCCTTCGCTACCCTCCAACGTACGCGGGTACTAAAAGGCTTGCCATTCTACTCAGACCCAACTACGGTGGCGACTCTTCGGCAGGGGATGATTATCTGGTAGCACACGAGGCTGGTCTTCGAGGGGATGATTGCCGAAGGATCTACCCCTCCTGTCCAGATGGATACGGTGTCCTCGATAATATCAGTAAGGTCCTTGGTCCCGGATAAGAAAAAGACAATGGAGTCCGGAAGAATTTTTCAAGCAAACAAAAATAAAGAAAAAAAATCCTCCCCTATAATTTTTCTTCTACATCTCAACCTTACCAACGCCATGGTAATTAATGTTAAAATTATTATTAAATGCTCGTGAATAATAATTTGCTAATCAAGTCTGACTCAGTTTTAACTATTTCCACTTAGATCATCATGTCTGATCATTAATGTCCCTCTCCACTGTATCTAAGCCTATTATATCCCAGCAACCCTTCAGGACGAACTATCATCCCCTTAGAAAGTTCCTTTTCTCAAGATTGGTACCCATATCGGTATACTGTCTCCAGGGATTCCTGGCTCCAAGAATTAAATCACTTTTCGGAATTGACGTCATTCGTCTTGAAATTAACGAGGTAATTATCAGTAGCGCCAGGAATGGCCGCTTACAGCTTCCAGTTTAACGGTCCATATACAGTCTGTTTCAGCTAACTCACAGACCCTACTCCGGACTTTAACCCAGGACTAAGATACCCCGCTGCCACAGTGTAAAAGGACGCGTTAGGTGAAACAGCCTGTGTATTTGTCTCGTATTCCCTCCTCTCCTCCTCTGCCATTCTCTCTCACTCTATGCCATAATCATATTACCCACAACTCGTATATACCTACTATACCGGGTGTCTAATGAGAACGAACGACAGGACCATCCACTCCAACCGCTAATGACATCATAAACGAAAGGCAAACTAAGAGGAGAACGAAAATTCCACTGGGCACAGCAAGTCCCGTCATCGCTATATCTTGGGGAATTTTTGTTACTCTAAGAAAAACGTATCAGCCAGTACTCGTCCGACACTGCACAAAGTAACTGTACTCATCTCTTTAAGATAACCATACGACGAGATGAAAAATATAATTCCCAGTATCCTGGAGTAGGATATTTTTTTTTTCATCGATATAAAATGTCTGTGAGCGTATAGAGAAATTTTTTGTAAAAATCATGGATAATACGAGCACCCACAGCGACTCCTCATGATATTTTTCTACCTTAAGGCCCTCGTCTTGGGCCTTATTTTATTATTGGGTAACGTGGGAGGAAATCATCGTACCAAGAGGGTCATTACCTTCCCACGTGGCAGCACGATGTTCGTAAGTATTAATTATTTACTAATTTCTATGTCGCAGTCTGACGCTTAAAGTGCACGTCAGTTTTCATCCCTTAATATTCACCTAAGGCTCTAACAGATTTGATAGTCGTATATTGCTAGGGGACGGATGGGCTTGAAGCAGCTCCTGAAGGAGCTTAGACTCTGCACCGTATTTACACTGGGGGCAAGGGTGGTTTGTTCTGACAAATGGTCTTGCCAGATCCAGGCGACAACCCCCGCGTTTTGCGGCGGGGTTCGATACAATTTAATACGGACGATCGTGCTGCCGCCATTGACATTTCTTAGCGAGGGTGTGTGGGAGTATAAGGGTGGGTGGGTTATATAAGGAAAGAGAGAGAGAGAGAAATGATGAAGATAGGCAGAAAAAAAATACCCCTATCATTTTTTTCTCTTAAATAAAAAATATACATTATATATATATATATATATCTATATCTGTATTATATATTTTCAGTATCGCGTTACCTACAAATTGAACATGGTACCCTATTCGACTCTCTTCGCCCAGGCTTCCGGTTTTAAGGTCGCATGGAAACTACCAGTCGATTCGAGTATTCGAATTTCCCGCTCAGCACGTGACCTGCACGACATGGCCGAGTTCATGTACGAAAGGTAATAGAATATTGGAGACTACTGATTGATAACTTCAGTTCTGTTGAGTGTGGATGCTGATGACTTAGAGTTAGGTTAGGTTGGTAAATTTGGCAAGGTGAGAATAAGAGTGAAAAAAAAAGAAGAGATACCAAAAGATCAAGGGTAGTTAGATTAAGAAGTGAGGGGGAGCAGAGGGGGTGGTCTCCCGGTGCCAGAAGATTTTCCATTGGGGAGGGGGGGGGGTTGCACCAATGGCTGTTACCAAGTAGCCTGAATAGGCCAATGGTGCAATGCCGTGTTATTCGCAGCCACCCTCTGCAGTTGGCGTGTAGGATTATTTTTATTTTTATTGCACGACGAAATATACAACCCACCCTTGCAGCAAAGCCCCTCCATTGAAACTGAAGACGGTGGCTTTGTCGTGGCTTTTTTTTATTTTATTTTAATTCTTTTTTTTTGGCAGGCATGGATTCGACGGTAGGATATGCGTGCTGAAGAATATCTGCCAGGCAATGGAACGTATTAGGGGGCATGACGGTGTGATAGTGAAGATACTCAAATTGATAATAGGGTAAGTAATTGTTTAATAGGAATAATTTCACTGGGATTTAATTCTGTTTATATTCGTGGTAAGTTACTAATTAATTGGGATTTCGATTTCTCTAGGTCCGACGGAAATTCTACGTCGACTGTGGATTCGCTCGAGTGCGACAATTACATCGATTACTGTCCCTTGGAATTGAACAGTGTTCAGGGACTGGGCGAATTTTGAATATACCAGAACGAAAAATTATGGCTGTATACGTCACGATCATAGAAAATTTAAGTAAATTTTTATAAGAATAATGGATAATATACCAGTATGTGTAACGGAATGATATAGAGAGTGAAAAAAATGAAAAAAAGAAAAAAAAAATTTACATATTCCTGTAATTCTTTTATACCCATTTACAGGAACTTGCTTAAATTTGATTAGAGTGGAAAAAAAGTTCTGTAGATTCGAATAATTCAACGAAGATCGACAACCCTCAAAGTGAGCGATGATGATAAATGATGTATTAAGGATGATGCGTCTACTTTCAAATGACAAGCAGGGGCGTGGGGAGAGGAGGGTAAAAGAATTTTTGCAAAAATTTGGAAAATAATAATGTTAGAAAAATATCCCCTATATTTTTCGTGTTTCGTCAAAAGGGGATCGGAGGGACAATTCTAAGGGTTGCTCGTAACTTCGATCGGTCTTTGTCACGGGAACTATATAGAAAAACACTAGGCAACCATCCCTAACCCCGTGCATTATTTTAACCATGGAAAACCGACTTCTACCCTCCTTCGCCCCTTCGTCCTCCCATAATACCTACCCTTCCTTCACCCAGGTCCTGTTCGTCTCCCTATGAGCACTTTCCACCCCCCATACCGGAAATACAAAGTGGTCCCTTATTAAATTCCAGAACAAGCCTCTTCACCCTCGATCGCCGTACAACCCTTAACCACCGAAGACCTTGTGCAACGACATAACTCAATACCTCTGGTGACCATTATAATTACTCCTGAGAGGGTTCGTCTCTTGTATTAATTATCGCTACAATCAAGGGATGCCAATGGCCAATATTAAATAAGCGTAACGTACGATATTCTCTCGTGGTGGGATTTTGGTCCATCCTCTTCGCTGTGAAGATTTGTAAAAAATTTTTGAAAAATAAAAATCCCCAGCCGATTCTTCCCAAAGGCAGGGAACGTTGCCAAATAATTTTTTCGTCTCTCCTCAGGCTCGACATTAATTTTTTTCCTCTTCTCTCATATTCGTATAATGAAAAGTTTGTTGACGGGGGGCAGGGGCG